TTTTAGTAGAGACGGGGTTTCACCATGTTGACCAGGATGGTCTCGATCTCTTGACCTCGTGATCCACCCGCCTCGGCCTCCCAAAGTGCTGGGATTACAGGCTTGAGCCACCACGCCCGGCCATAAAGGACTCTTAATTTGGAACTCAGAGCATGGCGCTTTCCTTCTAACTCCCTTGGCTACAACAGAAGGAGCAGGAGGACGGCCAGTGAAAGGAGGAGCAGAAGCTGGAAGCGCACAGTGACTGGGTTCGAGACGTGGCCTGGGCCCCCTACATCGGTCTGCCCACCAGCACCATCACCAGCTGCTCCCAGGACAGCCATGTGTTCATTTGGACGTGTGATGATGCCTCAGGCAATACGTGGTCCCCCAAATTGCTGCACAAGTTCAATGATATGGTGTGGCATGTGAGCTGGTCCATCACAGCCAACATCCTGGCCATCTCTGGTGGAGACAATAAGGTGACCCTGTGGAAGAAGTCAGTTGACAGGCAATGGGTTTGCATCAGTGATATCAACAAAGGCCAGGGCTCCCTGTCGGCAGTCACAGAGGGCGAGCAGAATGAGCAGTGACAAGACAGGTGGCACCTGGCTCCCCACCCCCCAGCTCTGGGACTGCCCCTTCCTGGGCCAACTGACCAAACAACTGGGAAGAGCCCCCAACTCCAACAGGATCATTTTCCCAGGAGGCGTTACAGATGCAACCACAGATTGATCATCTGCCTTAACACGATCAGAGATGCTTTGTAATCTAGTGTCCAGATGAAAGCACTCATGTTATAAAGAAGAAACTACATATGATGTTTAAATCTATTTTAAACTATTTTGGGCCATTTTTATGTACCTTTGTGTTCAGGCATTATTTGGGGGGTTTTGTTTCCAGTAACTAAATAAAGTCATATTGCTTATAAAAAAAATTAAAAAAGAAAATGCTTCGTCTGCCCTATTTGTCAGCTTGGGCTCCACCCTGAAATCAATAGCCTGGTTAAAAGCAAAAACTAAATTGGAAAGTTCCTAACTAAATTAGTAAACTCAACACTTCAGGATCTTTGTTAAGAAGTTTGGTTTTTCTGTCTAAAAAAGGAGGAGAAACTATTTGGAAGCTGGCAACCAAAAGATACTGTCTT